ATCTTGGGTAGTAGATAGAATAACCCCGGTCGGGGCTCTAAGGGTATGTTGATTTGTTCCTGTGTTAGTGTAGGGAGTGTCCTGAGTAGATGGTGCAGTTTCTTAGTGTATTCCTCAGTGGGATCTGAGGAAAGTGGCCTGTAGAATTTGGTATTGGAGAGTTGTCTGGCAGCCTCCTTCTGGTAGTCAGACCTGTTCATGATGACAACAGCACCTCCTTTATCAGCCTCTTTGATGATAATGTCCTTTATCAGCCTTTTTGATGATAATCTTCTGTCACCCCAAATGTCCTCTGAAGCATTTGAGTCAAGGATGGTTAAGATCCTATTTTCATGAACCTAAACACACTGCCTGTTTACTTCCTCAGTGCAGGAGGGTGAGGTGTCTTCTCTGTTCCCCAAATATAGTCCAGCAAACCTTTGAAGTGTGGCTCAAGACAAGGTTCTCTTCCCCCATTGTGTGCTCTTTGTGGTTCACTTCGTATCTTTCTGTTGATTTTGTATGTAAATGTGCCTCCGCTGTCAGGGCTGGCTTTAGGAAGTGCGGGGCCCAATTTGAACATTTTTGGTGGGGCCCCGGCAGGGATGACTAAAAAAAAAAAACATATAAAAAAAAGCCTTTCATTTCTTAGCAACCGGTTCCCTATAAAAAGTTCTGATTTAAGGGATGTGCCACAGTATGTATTTTTTGTACCAGGAGGGTTACCATACATCCGTATTTTTTAAATTTAAAAATTCCTCCCGGACGGCGATTTAAGAACCAAAAAGCCTGATATATCCGGGAAAATACGGATGTATGTTAACCCTACCTAAAGTTCTTTTTTAAAAAGATGGGCCTGAACTAGAAATGAGCTCCGTTTCACATGTGTGGGTCCCCGCCACTCCCTGGGGGTGTGCTAGGGTGACCATATGTCCCGATTTTATAGGGACAGTCCCGATTTTTGGGTCTTTTTCTTATATAGGATCCTATTACCCCCCACCCCCGTCCTGATTTTTCACACTTGCTGTCTGGTCACCCTAGGATGTGCACATGTGTGGGTCCCAGCTGCTCCCTGCCCCCCGCATTGAAGCAGGTGTGCAGGGTTACTGTCCTGGGAACTGCAGGGGCACCAGTGGACATGGGGCTGGCTGGAGGCAGGGCAGGGGCTGACTGGAGGTAGGGTCTGGCTGCAGGCAGGGCAAGGGGTGCGGGGCTGGCTGGAGACAGGGGGGTGTGGGGTGGGCTGGCTGGCTTCAGGCAGGGCCGCAGAGGGGTGCGGCAGGGGTTGCAGGGCTGGAGACAGAGGAGTGCGGGACTGGCTGGCTTCAGGCAGGGGGGTGCGGCAGGGGTTGGCTGCAGGCAGGGCAGGGGGTGCAGGGCTGGTGCGGGCAGGGCTGTGTGTGGGGCTGGCTGGCTTCGGGCAGGGCCGCAGGGGGTGCGGCAGGGGCTGGCTGTGGGCAGGGGGTGCAGGGCTGGCTGCAGGCAGCGGCAGGGCAGGGGGGGCGGGACTGGTGTGGGCAGGACAGGGGGTGCAGGGCTGGTGCGGGCAGGGGGTGCGGCAGGGGCTGGCTGCAGGCAGGGGGTGCGGGGCTGGCTGGAGACGGGGGCTGGCTGCAGGCAGGGCAGGGGGTATGGGGCTGGCTGGAGACAGAGCAGGGGGTGCGGGACTGGCGCAGGCAGGGCAGGGGATGCGGGGCTGGCGCAGGCAGGGCAGGGGGTGCGGGGCTGGCGCGGGGCTGGCGCGGGCAGGGCAGGGGGTGCGGGGCTGGCTGGAGACGGGCTGGCTGCGGGCAGGGGGTGCGAGGCTGGCTGCGGGCAGGGGGTGCGAGGCTGGCTGCGGGCAGGGCAGGGGGCGTGGGGCTGTCTGGAGACAGGGGCTGGCTGTGGGCAGGGCAGGGGGTGCGGGGCTGGTGCGGGCAGGGGGTGCAGCAGGGGCTGGCTACGGGCAGAGGGTACGGGAGCAGGGGGTACAGCCCACCCTGTACGGTAAGTGCCTCCTCCTCCTCCCTCCCCCACCGGGGTAGCAGCAGCAGCCCGGGGCTCGGGGGCTATTTAAAGGGCTGGGGCAGTAGAACCAATGGGAGCCCCGGACTTTTTAAATAGCCCCCAGAGCCCCGCAGCCCTACCCCAGGGCTCCAGTAGTGGGGCTCTGGTGGCAATTTAAAGGGCCTGGGGCTCCAGCACCTGCTGGGAGCCCCAGGCCCTTTTAATTGCCCCCTGGGGAAGCCGGGCCACCCCAGTACGGTGCACCGGCTCTTGCCGGTACGCTGTACCGGGGCTTGGGCGCAGGGCCCTCTTAGGGGCGGGGCCCGATTCAGGGGAATTGGCCTAAAGCCTGCCCTGTCCACTGTGTTAGCTTACAATGCTTAATTTACATGCCAACAGAGAGACAGAGGAATAAACATCTTTTCTGTCGGGAAAACTCTTCGCCTCTGCTGTGATACAGATGCTAAGAAATATTTTCAGTATACACCTATAGTTCCTTACATAATATTTGTACCTACATTTCACAACAATATTAATGACCCTGGCTTTCATTTAAGGCATCAGATGACCTTCTTTGATAAACCAGAATGTACATACTAGAATTAGGATATTCCTGTAACTCCCTTGCCAGTTGGCATTGAGGCGTTCTTATGTCACAACATCTGTCTGTGTTTTTGGTGTAATAAATATAGGAAAATATTTAAATTTTGTGTTATGAATTGTGTGAGTCTTGCATTCCTGATCTTCTGTGGCAGAAAATTCTACACCTGGGTGCTTTGTCTCCAGTGAGCTTCTTCTTAGGTCTGCCAGCTTTATCATACCCATTGGCCACCGTATCCTTGGAATAGTGCAGAGGAAGAGAGGTGGCCCTTTTAGATCTCTTTCTCACCTTAATATGATTCCTATGCACAGTGTTATGGACCTGAGATGCCTCCGTTCTCCTCATCTATATAAGATTCCAAGACTGTCACTCTGAAGCCTTATTATGTCTGTAGAGTCAGTGAGAAGTGATGGGAACTGCTACAAGCATGCTTGCAGCTGTTTTCTTTGCATCACACTGACTCAACATTCTGGGCTTCTCTTTTTGTTCAGAATATCATCAGGTTGGTTTTGCAGCCTGCTACTGTCCAGTTTTTAAGTTCTTAGCCATTTTGACTTTACAAATTAAATCTATTAGACAGCAAGGCATGTATCTATGCCATGCCAAGAGTCCCCAGAAGACCATTGTGATACCAGAGGTAACTAAACCAATCACCCTCCCCCCCCATACAGCTATATTGCATGTAGCAGTTTAATTGGTTGTATAAGGGAGACTGCACAGATGAGGGAGACATGACCCAACTGCCAGTTTTTCAAATCCACCCACACAGCAACACAATCAGCACACACAATAACCTTAAGCACACGCAGCTCCTCACTGCAGCATATATCCCTCATTCTCTACATGTACAAATCAACACAAATCTCCCAGCACATCTCCCCCAGACACAAATCAATGCAACCATCTACACAAAAACACAGCCAGCATACACAGTAGCCCCAAACACACACAGTCCCTCACCACAGCACACACCCTTTATTTACCACCTACACAAATAAATACAAATCTCGCAATACAACACAACCACCCACACAACAACACAACCGGCACACTCTAACCCCAAACATTTTGAAGTCTAGAATATTGAGTAAGTGTGATGCAAAGGAAGCAGCTGCAAGCATGACTCTAAAGATTCTTTTGTTTAGAATATCACCAGATTCAATAATCACTGGGATTCATGGTCTGGTACCATCCAAATTTTAAGTTCTCAGCCATTATGAATTCATAAATTACACCTCTACAACAGTGTGGGCTTTCAGATACTAGTATAGCTATACTGGGCCTGCAGACTTCGAGATTCAAGCATATATTTCTATCATTTAGCCAGTATTGTCTTTTTTAAATGCACTCTTCTCAAAAGATAATAGTGTGATTAAATTCTGAAAACTTGACAAAGTACAAAAAGCTGATGTTTTCCATAAGCTGTTGTATTTTTATTCATTCTGTCTGCTTTATTGAGAGAGAGAGAGAGAGAGAGGGCATAATAATGAATATGTATATTTTGCAGCAGGTGCTTGTGAAATATTAAAGGAATTCTGGTTTATTTAAAAATGCAGAGATAACAATTTAATCCAGTGGTGGGCAAACTTTTTGGCTCGAGGGCCACATCTGGGTGGGACATTGCATGCAGGGCTATGAATCTAGGGCAGGGGGTTAGGGTGCAGGAGGGGTGTGGGGTGTACGAGGGGGCTCAGGGCAGGGGGTTGGGGTGCAGGGAGGGGTTTGGAGTGTGGCAGGGGGCTCAGGGCAGGGAGTTGAGGTGCAGGAGGGGTGCGGCAGGGGGTTGGGGTGCAGGGTGCAGGAGGGGTGCAGGCTCTGGCCCAGCACCAATTACCTTGAGCAGCTCCAGGTGGCAGCGGTGCGCAGCGGGGCTCAAGCAGGCTGCCTGCCTGCCCTGCCCCCACGCTGCTCCCGGAAGCTGCAGGCACCACGTCCTGCGGCCTCTGGGGAAGAGGGCTCCGCGCGCTGCCCTCGCCTGCAGGCACCGCCTCCTGCAGCAACCATTGGCCGCGGTTCCCATTCTCCCCGCCCCCAGGGGGCTCAGGGACATGGTACCAGCCACTTCCAGGAGCAGCGCGGGGCCAGGGCAGGCAGGGAGCCTGCTTAGCCCCGCGGCGCCATGGGGGTGGCAATTCCGCAGGCTGGATCCAAAGCCCTGACAGGCCGGATCAGGCCCACGGGCCATAGTTTGCCTACCCCTGATTTAATCTTATTTCACAGTACTACAGACTAAGGCTCTCATCCTGAAAATGCTTATGTATGTGCCTAAATTCGAGCACATGAGTAGTCCCATTGAAATAAATATTCTTGAAGTTAAACAAGTGCATAAGAGCTAGCAGGATCGGGGTTTTATTTTTTGAACTGGTGTTCATATTTCTTCATCACATTAAAAATATGACCATTCAATATAATAAGATTACATTATTTTTCTTAGGGCAGTAGCTGCAGCTACTAGCTATAATTATACAGTGGAATTTACTGGACTTGGGACCCCACCACCTGGAACTGAGGATGTTGGGTTTTGTACCCAAATAGGTGTGTTTGTGAGAAAATATCCAAAGAATGGTGAAACTGTTAACTCTGAGAAACACACGGAACATGCTTACAAAACTGTAAGTATCTCCTGCTCTCCCTCTACATATCCATTTAGTTTACTTTGTATAGGGATCAATAAATAACAACAAAGGGACAATTTTGTGAGACAGAATCATAAGGGTTATGTGTATACCAGAGTCGACTATTGCTACATGCTACAGTGGCTCAGCTGCAGTGCTTCAGTGTAGATACTGCCTACGCCGACAGGAGGGGTTCACAGCCCTGAGACATAGCTATGCTGATGTAAATTCCCAGTGTAGACCAGCTCATACTCAAGAGCATTGAGAAAAGAATAAGCCTGTGATTATGTTTTTAAAAATACCAAACATTCAGACTGACGTTATGACTTCTTGCCTGTGACAGGGAGATCCATGCCCAGAATCTGGTCAGCTGCCATGGTCCCGGCAGGGAGTCGGACCCTGGGAACCAGTAGGACTCCCAGCAGGTAGTGGGAAGCCCGGGAAGCAGTCCAAGCCGGGAGCCTAGGTGGCAGCCCACCTTGGAGCAGAGACCGGGTAGCACCCTGGCTCGGGAGCCGACTTTCTTGTCAATTTCACGACTCCAGCAGAGCCATGAAATTGACAATTATGACAGCCAACAACCAATGTAAGGAATGCAGTGGCTACACAGACACTGCATCACCCTCATTACAATGATATAAGCCCTACGCCTCTTGTTGAGGTTGTTTTAGTATGTCGGCATAGCAGGTGAGTTACATTGGCGGGAGGAGCATTTCAGTGTGTACACTGCCGCTGTTTTGTTGCCAAAAACTGACTTTTGTGTAGTGTAGACAAGGCCCAAGTCTGTTACTGTCTGCCTTCTGCTTGTCTCTCTCACACACTCTTATCCAAAACAGTACTCAGCAATGCCTCCCACCCATATAGTTCAAATTATTGAGTGGCCTTGGATATGCCTTTGTTTTGGGCGGTGACGTTTGTGTGCTTTGTTTTGGAGACTGCTGTTGTTTCTGGGTCTGTCATAATGTTAAATATTTTGGGTTTTTGCACATTGTAAAGGTTTTCAAGGCAGTGTACCCAAGTCTTAAAGATGAAAAGTACCTGCAGAATGCAGTGGTCAGTGAAGTTCTTTTCGGAGCAGACATCATTAAAAGACGACTACTGGGCAATTTCAAGTCTGAGTGGAAGGAGCATAGTGATGGCCTTGAGACAAAATTCAAATTCCAGCCATTTAAATATTTCATGAGGTGTTCAAAGAACCTTTCTCTAGCTGAAACTGAAAAACTTGCTGCTGATAGAAGCATGGAGCCATTCATTGATGGAAACACAGTTTATATACCTCTGGCAAAAATCTTTTCTATTCCCAAAGTGAATCAACTTTGTGGCACCTTTGAGAAGTTAAGCAAGCTTATTGCTGGCAAAGTAGCACTGAGCAATGATGGTTCTGCTGTGATAGTCACTATCGAATATGAAAATGAAGAACAAGAGAATTAGAAAACACTTCAAACTGTGGTGACAAAGAAAACCTTGTTAGTAGATTCATGCCGATGTTATTTCTATATAGTGACTAGAGTTACCGCACTCACTTATACTATTTTTTTAGTTTTAAATATTTCCAGCAGGACCTAGAATTTTTGCTTGTTAAAGGCAGCACCTTTAAGGATTATAGGGCAGATTTTCAAAGGCACAAAAGGGAGCAGTTAGGCATCCAACTGCCATTGAAGGGCAATAGTTTATTTAGCCATGTTTTGTTTGCTTTCCCCTTATGTATCTCTCAAGTATCATAATTACACTCTTTTAGGTATGTTGGGAGTATATATACAGATTTCACTAGCTGTAACTGAGTCCCCCGAGACTAGTCATGTGAATGGTGGTGTGGTAGAGCACTACGGCGTCACCACCTATCTAGCTATAGGTTTCACATATTGATTCTAATGCTAAAACCTAGACAACAGTTATAATTATAGCATATGTCAGCTATAAAACAAGCTGTTGGGTAAGGAGGACCAAAATGTTAATATTTTTGGTAAAATTTACCTACATTTTTTTTGCTTGCAAGTTAATTTTTTTTTTTTTTTTGGTTGAAAGGGTGAATGTGAAGACAGAGAAATGGAAATTCAGAAAGCCTATCTTATTGATCACTGTATAGTGTAGCTGGAAGAGAAATAAAAGCAGCAGGTAGAAGACATGTAGCAGGATGGGAGGGGGGGAGAGAGGGGGAGAAAAAGCATAAATTTGGACTAATACAGAAGTAAAAATATTCCTGTAGAATCAGCCACTAATGGAGAGATGGGCATAGCCATTGTACCAGTTCTTATATGTTTTCTTTCTCCTTCCCTTTTTTGGTCATCTTATTGTAGCAGCACTGAACCCATGGACATAACTTGATGGAAACATAGGGATATGTCCTCCTCTGTACTTGTGTAAGGCCCATTAACGTGAGAGTCTCACAACTGTAGGTGGTGTTTATTAAAAAAAACACTTTCGATGGATGTCATTGCAACCCCGAGCACAGTTTCAGGCTTGGAGAAAGTCAAATGCTTCTTCTAGGTTAATGGGAAAAGTGGTACAGCTAGTTAGTTAGTGGTGGCAGGAGAAGTTCAATGAGAATAATCTGATGGGAAAGTAGCAGGCATTAAAATGTAAAAGTACTGTATTACTAAATAAAATGTGTTCCCACCGTTTTCTGTTAAATATCTCTGACTTCTGTTTATTTTATTAAAGATTTTTAAACTTCCTAGATCTGCTTTAAGGAAAAATTACCCTCAAAGTAATAAGTAATTGTTCCCTAAAAATACATGCTATTCCTAATACTCTCAATAGAAATAGAAGGCTGTGCAATACCTGTGATAGTGGAGCTGTGAGATTTAGGCCATGGAGATGATTCTACTAGAAAGAGCTGGCCTGCCTGCCTTAGGCAAGGATATATCACACATATAAATGTGTAGTAAACAAACTATTTATTAATCTCCAAGAACTAAAACTGTTATGTATGCACAAGAATAGCATGTTCACACATGTTGCAAAATTTGTCCAAGATAAGTAATATTTTTGATGTGACTAGGTCAAGGAACATGGTTTTCTTTTGTTAATATCTGATAAATGCTAAAATGTTTCTCATGGGTAATGCACAATTAACTAGTGAACAGGCCTCACTCCTTGGATGCTCCCACTGCTGTCACTGGCAGATTTGGGGGGGGGGGGGCAAGTGCTGCAGGATCAGGCTTAACGTTTGTGAGATATTTACAAAAATGTAAAGCAGTTCTGTGTAAAGACTAACTAGTGTCGTAGAGGATGACCTTTGCTCCACCTTCAGAATCTGTGGGTGGGGAGGCTCCTGTCTCTTCTGGCCCTCCTTCAACTCTCAAATCATTCATGGTGAAAGAGCAGACAGAAAAGGCAGGCAGTAACTTAGAGCAGAGGGATAGGTTCAGAATCTATAAGTAGGATGAGTTTCTCTGAAAGAAACAAATGCTTTGAAGCATTCCACCTCCTTCCAAATGCTTTTATAACTTCTTGATACTTTTACTTTGTTTTGTGTGGAATTTTTTCATCCCTGTTAAACAGCTATGCTTACTAAATGTTAACTTGTAATCAAAAACTATTTAGAACTACTTCCTCGGTGGTTTATTTTTTTTTGGCTGCACAGTTATCTTGTAAAATGCCTTAAATGTTACACATGTGAACTTCAAAGCTTGTAAATAAACTGTTCTTTGGCTAATAATGAGCCTGTTTAATTAGTGCAGAGTTCAGTACCATTAGCTTGGCCATTTTTTTGAAGATATCCGTGCAACTCAGTGGTGAACTGTAAGGCACATTTAGCAGTTACTATATCTGTTAAGGTTTTTTGTTCCCCCGCCCCCTTCCTTCCTTCCCCACTCTGTTTTTTCTTGTTGGTATTTCTTTATTTAGTGTACTTTGTAACCTAGTCATTTAAAATAAGGAACAGGTGGTTCTGGCAGAATTGGAACAACATTTGCCTTGACTATTATGTTACATTACATCTAATTATAGGGGTGCTCATAGAAACACTTACTTTTCTTGAAAAGATCAGACCCCCTAACATTTTGTTCTGTAAACCCAGTTGGAAATTGGTCTCTCTGAATATTGGGTTGGCTACCTTTATCCCAAAGGATTTATAATAGCCTCCAAAAAACTCCACTTACACATAGCAGCACTGATTACTTTTTCCTTCTATAATCTTGACTGTTAGGAATTAGTACTGGATGTTAACATCTTAAAGGGAGAAGAAAGAATCCAAGAACAAATAAATTGTGCTTCTGTGATGCCTTTCATGGGAAGACAAACCACCTCATAAATGTTAAGACATATAAATCTCAGTGAGGTAGGCAGGTAAGCTTCTTTGTAAAAGTGTTCAGAGTCATGGTGAAGTCATGTGACTTGCCCAAGCTATTACAGCCAATCAGTGATAGCCTAAGCCATGGTTCTATGTCTACAATACCACTTATGTCACTTAGGAGTGTGATAAGCCACCCCCCTGAGTGACGTAAGTTACACTGATGTAAGGACTGGTGTGGATTGTGCTATGTTGGCAAGAGAGCTTCTCCCTCCGACAATGCTACCGCTGCTCGTTCATCATCATCACGTTCCTATTACGCCTCTGGTGTTTAGGGCAGTGACGAAGCTCCTCCACTCCTGTCTGTTTCTGGCATGTCTTTCAATGGTTCCCCAGCTGTGCCCCAGGTTTTTCAGCTCAGCTTCCACAGCTCTTCGCCATGTTGTTTTCGGGAGGCTTCATTTTCGCTTGCCTTCAGGTGTCCATCTTATTGCTACTCTGTTGATGGAATCAGTTTCCATCTGAAGCACATGACCGATCCATCTCCAATGCCTCCTGGCAATGATGGTGCTCAGATCCTCTTGGCTGCACTGTGTCAATAGATCTTGGGTTGAGTTTGTTCTGGGCCAAAAGATAGAGGATTTTTCTGAGGCAGGTTGTATGAAATAAAGACAGTTTGGACATGTCATACTTTATAGTGCAGAATGCTGGGGAATGAGAAAGTAGTGTTGAAAGTACGCAGCTCTGATAAATCTTGAGTTTGGTTTTGGTATTGTATTTTGATGATTTCCAGACTGTATTTAAGCTCCTGATGGTGTTCCTGGCTTTACTGATTTTGTTCCGGATGTCCTGGCGTGTTCCACCGTCCTGGCTGATGGTGCTGCCCAAGTACGTGAACGTTTCTACATTGGTGAGAACATAATCCTCTATCCGTACTGGTGATGGTGAGGCAATATTAAAGGTCATGATATCTGTCTTATTGCGGTTGATTTTCAGTCCAATTTGCTGGCTGAATGTGTTGAGTCTAGTTGTTTTTTCTTGTATATGGTGTTGGATATATGATAGGAGAGCGACATCATCTGGAATGTCCAGGTCTTCAAGGGATGAGAAGAGCATCCATTTAATGCCTCTTGGCATGTCTTCTGTTGTATGCTGCATTACCCAGTCGATGGCAATGTTGAAGAGGATTGCAGACATGACACACCCCTGACGTATTCCTGTTTTGACTTCAAAACTGAGCTCACTGATCGACACTGCATGTAAAGTTGAAATAGAAGCTTTTGATGACGTTGATTCTACGGAAAGGAATTCCATATGCCCGCAGAATGTGCCATAGGCTGGTCCTGTGAATGCTATCAAAAGCCTTCTCAAAGTCTATGAAATTAATGTAGAGTTGCCGTTGCCATTCTAAGCACTGTTCTATTATGTTTCATAGAGTGTAGATCTATCTGGTCTGTGCATCCACGCCCTTTCCGAAAACCAGCTTGCTCTTTTCTGAGAACGCTATCAACTGCCTCTGATATACGCTGGACTATGATCTTACACAATATTTTGCTTGGCACAGATAAAAGTTTGATACCACACCAGTTATCACTGAGAGTTCCTTTCTTTGGTATCTTCACTATAACCCCATTGGTCCACTCATCTGGCACTTTCCCTTTCCCAGACTGATGTAAATAGAGGGGCCAGGATAGATGCTGCTAATTTAGGATTTACCTTGAACAATTCTGCATTCAAGTTATCCTTACCAGGAGCTTTCCCATTTTTTAAGGATTTAATGGCTTGAATGATCTCTTCCTTAGTTGGGGTGTCTGCATTGATATTAAGATCTTCTTCTGCCTCCTGGATGTTTGCTTCCTCTTTAGGTGGCTCCCTGTTCAGCAATTCTTTGAAATGCTCTGTTCAGCACATTTCTTGTTCTTTTTCGGTTGTTAGTAGCTGTCCTTGTTTGTTCCTGATGAGTGTTTGTTGGTGTCTTCCGTTTACCGCTGATAAGCCACGTCATTTTGTAGACGGTTCCTTGTTCACCACAAGCAGCTGCATCCTCTGCTTGTGTTGCCAGATTATCAATATAATGCCGTTTGTCCGCTCTCATAAGACGTTTGACCTCCCAGTGTGCCTTGCTGTACTGCTCATGGTATTTGTCCTTTAACTTCTGGGATTTTGTGTCTAAAACTTTTTTCTTCAGGGCTCATCT